ACAGTGCACAGTATACAATTAAAACCATAAAAAACATAATACACAATATTACACGTAAATCACAATCCAATACATCTCCTAACTAAAATCGTAGTCCAATTGCATCATCCATATTACCAATCCGTAATCAACACATTCATTGCACCGAATTAACCAAATGTCTGCTTGAACATCCAAGTTTTTAGTCTTCTTCGGAATACCATCAGCGAGGGGGCTGATCTTACCTCCATGGGAAGGGCGTTCCAGAGCCGAGGGGCCACCACAGAAAAGGCCCTGTCTCTCGTCCCTGCCAGCCGCACCTGTGAAGCAGGCGGGATAGAGAGCAGGGCCTCCCCAGAAGATCTTAGGGTCCTGGTGGGCTGATAGGCCGAGATACGTTCGGATAGGTAGGTTGGGCCAGAACCGTTTAGGGCTTTAAAGGCCAACGCCAGCACTTTGAATTGAGCCCGGTAGCAAATCGGCAGCCAGTGTTACATATCACTATATTGTACTATACCATTATATTGTAAATTTATTAGTAATATTACATGTAATATAAAATAGATATTTATGATATTGTATTATTAGTGGTATTATATTGTATTACATAATAATATTATAAATATATGAATATACAATATATTCTTTCATATCATATTATATCATTATCCTAGCACAGGAGACAAGATGGAACTGTCCTCCTAACCCCTTCTCTCTTCACTCTGGCCCAGAGCAGCAGTTGGTTCTGGGGGGAGGGGCCCCCAACTGATTACACAGACAGGAGTCAAGATGGAACTGTCCTCCTGGCCCCTTCTCTCTTCATATCAAAACACAAGTTGTAAACTGTTATCAACACAGAGCTATGTTAACTTTAACTGTGTAAATTGGTTTATACTGCACATAAATATAACAAAGAAAATGCATAGGATATAAGTCTAAATGCTACGCAGTAATTTCCCTCTAGAGTTTTCTTGAGGCTTGAGAGTTATAAATTCACTCTTCCAAATGATATATATTCCTTTTACTCATGACAGCAGTGAGTATTTTCACTCTTTTGTTAGAACTCTCACAACAAATGATAAGTATTAAGAAAATACTTATAGATGTTAAATAGATGTTATATTGATGTACTGTTGTATTGCCATATCGATGTAGTTGCTTTAGTTACTGTTTTAAATGCTAATGTGTGCACTTTGTATATTGTCCTGGCTGTAAACCACACTGAGTCGCCTACGGGCTGAGAGAGTGTGGTATAGTAAATAATAGTAAAGTAAAGTAAATAAATAAATACTTACACAGTCTTTGAAGTGATTAATTAAACACTGGAGTAGTCCTTGAGAAAGTAAACTGAAGTGCAAAATAATGTCCATATAGTTCAAAATACTGTCCGACAAGGATCCCCGGGTTGAGATGCCTTGTTTTGGGGGACTTCCCCTTCTTCAGGATTTCTATAAGTTCTTCATAAGAGAGTGTGATTCACAATAAATCCCTAAATGGGTGATAACAAACAACATAATAGATATGCCAAAAAGGCACCCAAAGCAAACATTCAATAATGATAAAGTCATTATATACATTCCAATACGATTACATGCATGTTATTACTTACATTATCTACAGTATGAAGCTGGCCCTACAGTTAGGTTTTCGATAGTGAGCAATGCAATTACACAGAAGCAAGGATTTAAAGGCAGGGCTAATTGCAGACAGTCAGCTGCAGTGTAAATTTCAAGCAGATAAGGTGGATAATAGGGTTTATTACAAAAAACAGCTGAGATTGAGTCTATCAAACCAGTAGGAACCACTGTATTTAACTTAAAAATCCAGAAAGCTTCCCTTTGCAAAAGATAATTTTTAGTGTCCATGTGTGGCTTAGTGTGGATTTTTTTCTATAATGAAAAACTTGGAAGTTTGTAAATGTATGTCCTTTTTCCAGAAAATGTGAATAAAGAGTACTATCATTGAGTTTGTTTTTTATGCGTGAGCGATGTTCCATGATCCTGATCTTGACAGGTCTGGTGGTCATTCCAATACAGAGAAGGTCACATGGGCATAAAATACAATATATTGCATTATCTGTTGTGCATGTGGTAAAATTATTTAAGGGTATAGTGATCTTCATGGTTGGGTGTGTGAATTGTTGAGTTTTCAAGGATTGGGAACAATGTTCACAGTGTCCACAGTAAGTATGTCCTCTACTGATGTCCTCCCAACTGATGACACAGGAGACATGATAGAATTGTCCTCCTGGCTCCTCCTCTCTTCACTCTGGCCCAGAGCAGCAGTTGGTGCTGGAAGGAGGGGCTACCAAATGATGACACAGGCAGAAGACAAGATGGAACTGTCCTCCTGGCCCCTTGTCTCTTCACTCTGGCCCAGAGCAGCAGTTGGTGCTGGGGTGAGGGGCTCCCAACTGATGACACACTATTATACTACTATACTAGAAGAGAAGATCAAACCCAGGGATAACAGACTAGTATGGCCTCTCACTCTGACTAACCTATCCAAACACACAATAAAAACAGTGAAAAAAAATGGAACTTGGTGAGAGATATACCAGGTTGTGAGAGACCCCCCCCCCCAACTCATTGCCCATAGGAGAACACAAAACATCAGGGATATTTTGATCCATTTGGATATAGATCCCAAGCAAGTTGTCACTAAACCCAATCTGATAGGCAATTTTGTATGTCATCATTGTTCTATATGGTCACAGTTCGTACAAACTAAGTTCTTTCAGAACCAGCACACTAAATTTCACTACAAAA